CCCAAATTTCCCTGCTTTTCCTTTTCCAACTTTGTTTTTCCTTCTCGTTTTTAATTTTCTTTTCTGCTCACTACTTTCACTAGCATCACTAACTCCCCGTTCCCCTTGGTTTTTGGTGGTTATTTCTCATTCACGTTCCCCTTCCCCTCTCATTCTCCTTAGAGGCCTGTCGGTCCTTTTGCTCCCTCTGTCCCCTGAACCCTTGCACTTGTGGGTAACTCAGCCCTGGAGAAATCTTGAATTGTCTGAGGGTTTTTGTCTTGGCTCTAATCCGGGTTCTGGGTGCTGAGCATCTGAGCTCCCCACAGGAGGGCAGCGGGCTGCAGGAGGGGAGAAGGGAAGGGGTCTGGGTCTGGGACAGGTAATCTTCCAACAGGAGCCTCCACTCTCTTAACAAAAGGGGGACAGTCCGCTTTTGTCTGGTGCTTCTGAGGGGCGTGTCCAGGGCCTAGAGCCACCGCCAGTGGCATGCAGGAGAAGGGGGCTGCAGAGGTGGAGGTGTGCCAAGTGTTTCTAATGGAACCTGAGCGAGATTCATCTCTGTGTGTGCCCACAGGAGAGAGAGGGAGACTTTCTGCTCTCCCTCCCCAAGCATTCCGAATACCCTGGCTGCTCTTTTACTGGGGGAACTGGGTGAGGGGAAGGCGCTGCCTGGCGATCCTCTCTGCTCACCTTCAAGGTTATGGACACTGGCAGAAGGACAATTGACGATTGTCCTAGGAAGGGCCTGTTGCTCCTCCTGTTAAGGGAGTATTGAGGGGGTGAGGTGGGCTCTGCATGGGTCCTCGTGGCTCCACTGAGACACTCCACTGGCCCTCCTAGGCCACTTCTGTGTCCAGTCTCTCCACCACTCCCTCCAACTTTGATCCCTCCCTCCATCCAAGAGTGAATCATGGATCGCCTCCTGCTTCTCTGACTTCTACACAGATCCTTCCATCTGCCATCTCCCAGCCACCTACCTGGTCGTACCACTCGATTCAGAATCAACCCATGTTCAGCGAGTCTCTTCCATTCAGCACTGTGGTCTGTAGACTGAACATGCCAGAATGCTCCAGGAGGCTCACGTTGGCCATTTTCTGTTCAGTGTCTAATATGTGGTATAAATCAAAATACCAGAAAAACACCCCGTGCCAAATATAAACTCAACTTGTAGTTTCTACTGTTTTGTCTTGACTTTAGAAAGTAAGGTTGCTTCTCTCAAGGTGGAGAGGCACGGTTTGGTATCTAATGTCACTCAGCTAATATCTTTGACTAATTGTGCCGAAGCTGGTTATTAACATGACGTTAATTATTGAACACCACGCTAGGAGGCCTATCCGAAATGACACCTGCCTCCCGCTCTCTCACCTCTAACGGTTTCAGTCAGGGTCAGCCATGAGCTTACTTCAGACCATTCAGGGCGCAGACAGGGGTCCCAGGTCTGGGGTCCCAGGTCTGGGGTCCCAGGTCTGGGGTCCCAGGTCTGGGGTCCCAGGTGCTGGGCAGCACCTTTCCCATTGTCAGGGTTCAGCGCCAGTCCAGGGCTGCATGTTTTGTTTTGGCACACCTCAGTCACTCTTCCGGGAACCTTTTCGCAGAGCATGAAGGCCACCCAGCACAGAGTTTCAGATGGGAAAGAAAGGGGCGCCAGTGAGCAGTGACCTTTTTTTCCGTTGCCAGCTGAGGCTGAGCTCACCTGGGCAGAGCGCAGCCGTAGGGATGGTTCCAGAGCAGGATCGGTCTCTCCCTGTTGGTGTTCTCATCCTCCTGCAATTTGTGTAATAACTGTATCCTCCTTATTGCTTCTCAAAGGCCCGAGGCAAGGCTGCTCAATAGCCCCTCCCAGAGAGAACCCTACGGAGCTTCAGCCTCGGTCCTCCGTGCTCACCTTTTGTCCTGCCTGGGAAAGGCCCAGAAACAGAGGCTCCACGGGGGTGGGGGGGGCCTCTTCTCTGTGACTCAGTTTCCCCAAGGTTGTCCCAATTTTCCTTGCCTTTCTGTTCTGTTGTTTCCTTTCTTAGCTCTCTCCTTGCAGGTTTCTTATTTTATGCCCTTGCACCTTGCTCCATATTATTCGGGCCCTTGAGTCTGAATTGAATTGGGGGACTGATAAGTGTTCCCCTCCTCCAGCCAAGAAACACTAAACACCAGTCAAGTGGAGGAGCTAGAGCTGGAGAAAGCAAAGACTTAAGCTCTGGGTAGTGGGGGGAGGACATCAGTAGGACTCAGGGTTGGGAAGTAGTGTCCATCTTCCTGCCTTTGTCACTTCTCCCGGGGTTGGCTGTTGTGTTTGTGGCTACATGAAGTGCTTGTCAGCGGAGTGCTGTGACAGGAGGCTATTTTCATAAACTGTTGCAGTTTCTCGAGCCGAGCTGCATTGCGTTGGCATCCCTTGTCACTGCTAATGGAGCGTGCGTGGCTGGGTGTGGGCCCAGGGAGGCAGCCGAGCTTGCTGGGGGGCTGGGGAAGGGAGCTGCGGGGTGCTGGGAGGCCGCCTGGTCTGGGAATGCTCCTGTGAGCAGCAGCCAGACCCCAAGACGAAGAGGTGGCTGCACCGTGTGCACTGGGTCCCTGCCCTGGAAGTCCTGCTGGCATGGACACTCTGGAGTTCTCTTTCTTCTCTTTCTATTCATAGCACAGCTCCTGTATGGCCGGGGAGGAAAACTTCCACTCGCCCCTGTGTGCTCCATAAATAAAAAAAGAAATAGAACCAGAAAAAGAGTGTGCAGGCCTGAGAGAAAGAGACTGAGACCAAAACACAGAGAGAAGGCGCAGCTGCTTTCCCCAAGGCCTTCTGGGGCTCCTGCCCGCCAGCCCGCAGGAGTCAGGCCTTTATTTATTTATTTTTCTGGCTTAAAAAAAAAT